GGGTCCGGAACCCCTTCCGCAGCGCTGTGACCCCCAGGTCCCTCCCGCTGTGTACCCGCACCCGGCTGCCCTCACCTCGAGGAGGGCTCTCCCACCCAGCTGGGAATGCCTGCTCCGAGGGTTTATTCAAAATAATCCATCGCCGGAGCTCTCTCGGCCGTGCTGCGCGGCGGGCTGGTTGTTCTCTGAGTCTCTCTGGGTTTGTTTTTAAGGCGGTTCGGCTTTAAAGTGAGTTCCCGTGGCAACGCTGTGGATTTCGTGGCTCAAAGCAGAGGATTTCTGTTAAGGTCACCGAGGACTCGGTGTGTGCTCGCTGGGTTTCTCCTCTGTGGGATTAACCTCTGGAAATTGGGGTCACTGATGCAGGGAGCTGGCCTGGCACGGCCTCTGTGTGACAGTCAGGCTCTGGAGCCCAGCCTCACCTCCGCTGCTTGTCTGGGATGTGAGCACAGGAAAGAGGTGTTTTCCTGACCTTGGATCTCAGGGCTGAGCCAAACACAAGTTGTTTGTTGATAGAGCTGAGTCTTTTGAGGAATCAGAGTGAAAAAAATTCTTTCTCTTCTTCGTCACTTTCATTTTGACACGGTCCCGTGACTCTCAGGAATGGGAAGAGTTGGGATGATCTTGTTTCTCTGTTGTTCACTTTGGGGGATGGAATATATTGCTGTTCATGGACGTGGGATTTGTTGCTTTGGCTTTGAGGAAGGAAATATTCCTAGAATCACAGAATGGTTTGGGTTAGAAGGGAAATTAAAGCTCATCCAGTCCCACCCTCTGCCATGGGCAGGGACACTTCCACTGTCCCAGGCTGCTCCAAGCCCTGTCCAACCTGACTTGGAACATTTCCAGGGATAGCCAAAGCTTCTCTGGGCACCTTGTACCAGGGCCTCCCCACCTTCACAGGGAAGAATTTCCTAATATCCAATCTAATCTCTGTCAGTTGGAAGCCATTCTCTGTTCTCCTGTCACTTTGGGCTCTTGTAAAAAGTCTGTCTCCATCTTTCTTGTCATCTCCCTTCAGCTGCTTTGTGCACATTAAAGCTGTGCTGGTATCTGGCAGAACAGGGCTGTGCTCACTCTTTATTCACTGATCAAACAAGAAAAGGTTGAAGGTGATTTCCAGGCAGTAACTCCCACGTCAGGCTCACTTAACAAGGATTGACACATGTCCCACTGTGGATTCCTCTGTGAGAGCTCTTTGCAGCTCCTCTGATCCTTGTGGAAGCTTCTGTACCCCTCCTCTTGGGACGGCAAGTTTTTGTCTTACCTCTTTTTTTTTTATTTTTCCAAGAAAAATTCCCCAGTCTCCAGCTGGTGGTTGAGAGGAGTTTTTGACTGCTGCTTCCTGGAGCCTCGTTGGTCAGGTTTGAAATGGAATCCCAGCATGTGGGACAGCCTGTTCCCTGCCAGGGGCTGGCTCTGTGCTGGGGTGACAGTGTCCCACTGACAGTGTCCCAGCCCGTGGATCTCTCCTGCCACAGCACCAGGATTGTCCCTCCTTGCTGCAGCTCCCAGTTCAGTGCTTCATCCTCCTCAAATCCTGAGGTTTCTGCCTTTTCAGGAGGCTTTGTTCATGATGTTCTTCAAGCTTTGTGTAAAATAAGCTGCTTTGGTCCTGTTAAAAATATCTCTGGCTGCTCTATTACTTATTGTAACCAGTTAATGAGAGATGATTAACTTCCTTCCTTTATCTAGTAACCTGCTGTAAGTGGCAGCTGCCTCCAAAACTTCGATTCCAGCTTCAGAGCTGGAAAGTTCCATCCTTTCCAGAGGTATCAAAAACAAAATCCTCAAGATTTCTCTCAGTGCATCTCCCAGGCAGTGGCAGCACCCTCAGTCTGCAGGACTGGTTATATTTGGGGCAATACTGTGATATTTTGACAACTGTGTTAAGTTCCAGGTGATTCTAGGTTGAGCTCTTTTTCCTTGATCTCATCTAGAGAGGCCTCTCATTTTGTTTCTTTAATCAGTGGGAAGAGAAAGAAAAGAAAAAAAATAGAATTCCTTGCACAAACCTGTTGTACCCAAACCTTTCAGCAGCATGACAGCAACTTTGTATTTGTGTTAAAGCTGCATTTGAAAATTGTTGTAATATTCCTGGCAGTGCAGTTTGGTCCAGATGGGGAATTATTCTGTGCTGGGGGCATCTGAAGCCATGAAAAACAGCATCACACATCCCTGGCACTTGAGGAAGTGATGGTTGGAAGGGCAGCACATGGGATCTGCCCATGGCACCCTGCAGGTCGAGCCAATTGTTGATTTGTGAGCACAAGCTTTGTGGCTGGACACCCTTATTGTGGCTCCAAGAGGTTCTGAATGAAATCCCTGTCCCCTGATCCTTTCCAAGGCTTGTTCTGAGAGGCTCAGCTGCCTTTTGCTGCTAGCTGGCAGAAAACAGCTGTAAAACACGAAGTTTGTGGGCAGCTCCTGGCTGATCCCTGCATTCCTGGTGCTCCCTCATCCCTCACTGCCTGCTCCAGGCTCACAGGAGCTGCTGCCCGTGCTTCACCCTCTGCTTTCCTTCCTGCCCTCCCCAGGCACGTGTCCAAACACTTCAGCTTTGTTGCAGATTCTCTGCTCTTTGGGTTCCTATTTTAGACACGCTTGCACAATAGCAGGCAAGTTCAGCCCAGCTGCTGGGCCTTGGCCTCACAGCCTAATTAAGTGATTTTTTTTTTTTAAAGCTGTGCAGTAAGATGAGAGCTTGTCTACCTTGGGAATCAAACTGTGGTGGTGCTCTCCCTGCCCTTGGAGAGCCTCCAGCTTTTTTTTGGGTGCAGATGAGCCAAGGGAAGTAAAATTTGTGTTTTACAGTGGTACCATAGCATTTTTCCTTGTTGCCAGCCTGCCCAGCCAGGCTCTCTGGAGGGTTATGCAGCTCTCACATTCCACTTCCCACACCTTGAAGGGAGTTTCTCTTCCTTGTGCAGTTGTTTTCTGCTGGACTTTAGTCTGGATTAAAGGGTTTGTGCTGATGGGCAGCGCTGCCGTGCATGAGGGGAAGTATAAACTTGTGCTGACAGCCCTTATCTCTGCACAGCTGAAGCTTCCAGAGGAGTCAGGAGTGGAATAAAAGCACTTTTTATCTCCAGCCTGGCAGCCCTGCTGCTTCTTCCCACTTGTTGCAGCCTTTCCTCCCTCGCTGGGGAGCTGAACTTCCCCGAGCAGCAGCACTGGGGAATGAGAGGTGATTCACAAACGAGTGTGACCTGTTGGTGCTGGGAGTGCCTGCCCTGCAGGAGCTCTGCTGTTACTCATTAACTGCTCCCTGTGCTCCTGCCCAGCACCAGGCTGCGCTAGAACCCCGTGTGAAAAACGCCAGTCGCTTCTTTTTAAAGTGTTAAAAGTTTCGTAGTAATAAAATGGTTATAAAAATAGCGATATAATAAGAGTAATAATAATTTAGACAATTTGAATTAGGACGATATGAGACAGTAGAAACAAAGAGTTGTGGACAGTCATTTTTCTGGGCAGCATGAGCCTGAAAAAGGACACACATTAACAGGATTAACCCTTAAAAACAACAGCCTGTTGCATATTCATGCACCTCATACATGATGCATAAATTCCATTCAAACACAGGATTCTGTCTGGTCAGTGTCAGCTTCTTCCTCTGAATCCTGACAGCATCTCAGGGCTGGGCAAGGCAGGAAGAAGTTGATTTCTTCTGATAAGAGGGCAATAAATTCTCTTTCTCTGAAAGATTTAGGTGTCCTGTGGCTGCTATCTCACTGTGAGTCCTTTCTTTAGAAAAATTATCCTGCATAGCATAGTTTCTGTTTTAACATCTACTTAAGAAAATTAATGCAGCATAACTTTCTAACATAACACATAGAATATTCATTTTAATATTTGCAAAAAACCAATCATAAAATATGCATTTTTCACACCTGGGAGTGGCTCCAGAGGGATTTTCCTCCGTGCCCCGGCTCCATCAGCCCCGCACACCCCAAGGCAGCCTCGGTTCCTTCTCCCTCCATGGAGCACCAAATTAGAAGGGCTGGTCTGGACACACGAGGTGCTGAGGGAGGGAGCAGAAGCCACTTTTTAGTTTTCTGAGCCACTCCCAGCTCTGGGGTTGCCAGGCCGGGAGGATTTCCGAGTTCCAAAAGGGCGTCGTTGCTGGGATAAGGGGGAGAGGAGCGCTCCAGAGGGCAGCACCCGGCTGCCCAAGAGGAACCTCTGCATGCAGAGGAGTAGGTGGAAAAGAGGAGATAAAAAACAGCTGCGTAAAAACCCTGCAGGTGAGGGGAGGGAGGTGTGTGAGGTGCACAGAGCCTGTTTTTAAACATCAGAGGATGTTTAAAAGACGAGTGGGAGGTGCTGTGAGTGGAAGTGAGAGCTGTTATGCCAGCAGCATTAAAGCCTCCTAAAATAATTGGTGTCACACCTCCAGCTCAATTTTTCCTGAGTGTTTCACTTATTCAGAGCAATCATTGGCATTTTAGCTTGCCAGCATCTCTCAGCCAGGATCAGCTATGTCTAAAATCTCATTTTATGTGGCTCCATGCTTGCTTTGTGAGTCCCAGCAGCATCCTGACCATGGGTGGATGAATCCAAATCCCTGGAAATTAGGAATATCTCATTGTAGGTTAGCAGAAGTAACCTGCACAAAGTATTCCTGTGTTGTGGTTGTTCAGACATCCCTCTTGGCTGAACAGGAGATTATTTCTGCTGACAATTCTTGCCTTGCTGGTAGTCATCTCCTTGGATATTTAAATTCCCCGCCAGCCAGGGCCATCTCCCTGTGGCAAGGATGTGTTTCACCCCCTCAAATTCCCAGCTAACAAGCAGATGGAAAGCAGGCAGCATGGATGAGATGGACTTGATGTTCTTGAAGGCCTTTTCCAAACGGAACAATTCAGTGCTGTCAGTGGTGATTGCCCATATCCAGTGCTGATTTCTCCTTGTGCTCTCTCCCTGCAGGACCCCTCGGTGACACAGCTCACAAACACCAGCCAAAGTGGCTTGGATGAATTCAACCCCTTTTCTGAGAGCTCCCAGCGGGTAAGTGCCACGTGTCCTTGTGCTCTGTGTGCCTGGTGGTGCTTTTAGTGGGGTAGAAGGTCCCTTGATAGGTGCAGCTTGAAAAAAGAGGAATTCGCAGCTGATTTCTGTAGCCCCGCATTTCTCTTCACAGAGAAAAGCAAGGCACAATTCTCCCCAAGAATGTTTCTGGGGTTCACATTCTCTGAACCTCAGAGAAAGAAAACACAATTCTTATCATTTGCTCTGCCTGTGTTTGTGCAAAAGTAGATTACAACATAGAAAATTTTTACCCACAGTGAAGGTGTTTTGTTTCCTTGGCCTGTCAGGGCCAAGAGTGTGTGTGTGTGTCAGGACTGTTGAGTGACAGACATGAGATTCAGGGCAAGGTAAGCAGTGTGTGCAGAGTGAGTGCTGGGCAGATTCAGTTTTAGATGTATACAATAATATAGTATAAAAAAGCAATTAATTAACCTTCTAATATCAGTGGAGTCAGATGCATCATTCCCTCCCCTCATTGAGGCCATCACAACTCTGGATTTCCCTGTGGATGTGGCTCATGGTGTGCAGGAGTGGGAAATTGCTCTTGCACTGGAGCAGTAATGAGCTCCCAGCTCACTGGCATGGAACAGCTCCTCTCCAGCTGCCTGCTGGCTCCCAGGGAAGCCCCATGAAGTGTGAAGGGGAAGATGGTTTGTGGCAGGGCACTGCAGCCTTTATTTGCTCCCTGGGCTGGGA